AGCAGGTCGTCCCCTAATAAGAAGGTTGTTGGTTCGATCCCTGGCTCCTGGCCCAGAAATGTTCTCAATATTTTGACTCACAAATTTCTCATTATAATGACTGACAGATTCTTTTTCTGTGTCCCATTGGCAGAAATGGGCTTCCATAGCCTGCTGCAGCTTGATATGACATCAATTGACTGAAAACCAAAACAATGAGCTAAAAGACACTAAAACATCCTGTACAGCCGAGGGGAACTGGTGATAGTTCTCTGTGGGCACGCAGTCTTTTGCTCCATTGTCAATATAAAAAAATATTGATTAGTGCAGCTTAAAAGTCTTGAGTTAGGCTTTTCAGCTATGCAGCTGAAGCACATAACCATGCAGGTTAATGTATTGATGAGCTTATACCAGCTTGCTGTTCACTTTCGGATTTTCTGTATTGCCACTCACCTTTCATCGTTGCATTGCTGTAGATTGAATGTGCAGAAAGTTGTGGACCTTGGCTTTAACTTTTTGTTAAGCAACATGCCACAAAAGATAACAATGTTCTTCCTGCTTGTCTCTCTTGTTATCTTGACTGTAGCAGCCAGGGATGACTGGTGATCCTGGAGCTACTGCTCCAAGTTGTCTTTGACACTATGGCAGCCACTGTTTCATTAGTGGGATTTCACTCTATTTGTTGTTTGGGGCATGTACATCTACGATATCATCTCCTCTCTTTCAGTCAGTGCAGCCTCCATACAAACACACAGTGCAACCCACCGCTACAGTACAATTTTTTGCAGAGGCAAGGGTACCGTTTCAATCCTTGTATCCGTTCACTGCATCTTTAATCTCAAACTGTAGCACGCAGTCACCAGCTACAGTACGTCCCGTCTCAATCTGATGCCTTCATGCTCCTCTGCACATCTCTAAACTGTCAGAAGTGAGTCTGTCCAGAGGCTGCAGAGTCTCTGCTGGCCCTGGTGGAGGGGAACCTTGCCTCATCGTCGTATTTACAGTAGGAGAAGCCCACAGGCCTAATTGGCATGGACAGTGATGGAGCATATGCACTTTCCAGTGGGAGCCCATCTGACAGGGCCACTCGCTGATGACTGCCTACATAGTCTCCATATGTGGCAGACAGAAGGGCCCGTACGCACACTGCCCTTCAACTAATGAAGCCAAGTCACCTGGCGTACACCTCAGCCTTTGAGAGGACTTTATCTGGAATCTGGATACCTCTCACAGCCTGCACGCACATACAATATTACACACACAAACCAAAGCCATAAGGGGCAACTCAGAGTTGCAAAAGCATAACTGCTCCCTCACCTCACCTCTTCATTGAGACAGATACACACTGACCCACACATAGGCATGCAAACACACGGCAGAGTGACTCAGAGATGCTAAAAACATAATTGTACCATTACCCTCACCTTCACCCCTCTCTCTCTCACGCACACACAAATGTAGACTCGCAGAAGAAAATGGTGTTGAGATGTGACGGGAGAGAGAAAAAAAGGAGGGGGAGTGAAAGAAAGTGAGGGACTACAGAGAAAGAGAGAAGCTGCGTGGTGCGAGTGTGAATTCAGCCTCCAGCTGGGCAGCTAAATGGACCTGGTCAGTCATTAGCATGCAAAGGTTTAGTCCGGACATTTAAGGTTATTCATTCCCCAGGCTAATCCTGCCCATGCTGAAAACGCCCAGCTACTTCCTGAATCACTCTTAATCAATGCCTTTTTTACTACTTGTTGTTGTCCTGGCAGTTATTTTTCAACACTCCAAAAAGCTGCCAGACACGGCTTGGCTGAGTGCACCGCACGTTTTGAGAGTTTTGGGGGCTGCAGATGTTGCCGCATATTTAATAAGCTTGATCACAGGAGCCCCAACCTCGCAATGTAATTCCGCTACCCAAGGTGCATCTGTTCTGCTTGTACTCACAGGAACCCCATGCTGGCGGAACTGTTTCACAAAGTCACACAAGTCATACAGTGGCTCGGCTGCTGCCTCAGTAACAGGCAGTGGAGGTATCAAAAGGCAGCTAGGGCCAAGGAGAAACAGCTGGATATTGGCCATGCGCAGCATGGCACCCGACTTAAAGGCAACCAATATAAATTGTACAGACTCGGGTTGTTTATTTTACTCCGTACGCTGGGAAATATCTTCGTGCATCACCTGGCTTGTACATACAGCCGTTTTCCCGATAGCAAAGTTGGAGATAATGATACCAGCGCATCACAAGCCACTTCATTATGTGAATAGATGTTCCTTCATTGGCAGCATCTCCTCTTTGCCCATGCCATATCACCAGACCATTGTGCTGCTGGTTATCCACAATGCAGAAGGGTCATCAGATAAGATCACCACAAAATATCCCTGGGGATTTTCACAGTGTTATCAACATGAAACATAAACTCACAAGCAAGAGAAGTAAGAACTCTACACAGCTGTTAAGAAGGACTATATTAAACTGAAACTGCAGCGTTCCCTGTGAAGATTTTCTTGCCTCTTTTCTGCTTCTTTGGAATTTTATCCATTTCAAATACACCTCCAGTCACAAAGTAAACAGATTGTGAGTTTCCGTGCTGCTTTACTTCTTTTAGGCTCGGAGCGAAATCTGATGTTTCTGCCTCTGTTTTTCCCCAAAGACCTTGGCTGACCCACTTTCCCTCATCCCGTGCACCTTGAGGGTCGCTACTGGAATAAGGAATATTTACAGTGGAGTGATATGGTTAAGTAATGAGTGTGAAACAATTAGAGGGGATCACGTTAAGCAATGTGTAGTATGCACGGTGGTTGGCGTGGGTGTCGAGATGAGCTCAGTTTCATTCTGACTTCTGAATGATAACTAATCAAGGTACATAATAAAAGACAACATTGTGTGGTTTAAAAGGATGGCTGCTCATACAGGTTCCATAACATAGCGGTGCTACTGCAACCCACCAGCTAAGGAAGTCAAGTGCAGTTTTATATAATGGGAGGGGTAAAATGGTCATCCTAAATCACTTTAGATTAGATCCATTTCAGTAAATGCATTTAAATGTTTTGGGACATTAAAACACAGAGACAGACGATAAGCTAAGTAAGGTAAAGAAAGAAAGTAAGTAAATTGTATTAAGAACTCCCCCCAAGTCCTTATTCACAGTTTGAACATTTGTTTGAGAGTTAGCCTAGCTTACAGTCCCTGCTTGTATATGGGATCAATTAGCACGTCTCTTTGAAAGACTTAAAATATCAACCTTGAACTTTCCAATTGATTAACTGGCTTTCTTAATTATACCAAATTACAGTATAAAGTCTCTAATCTCACATTTAACGACATAATGACATCGGAGCACACATTTGATCTGCTATCCAAACGCTTGGCTAACCACCAAAGTAGTAAAGCAGGAATCTCAAACTGTCGCCCTGGGGCCATTTCCAGCCCTCTAACCACCTCCCTCCGGCCCACGACATAATGTCAAACAAATATAAATCTAAAAAATATAATCAATTTAAAACTACACCTTCATATACATTTTGTTTGGTGCAAAATAATGGACAAAGGGGCCTGCAAATGTGTGCAAAGGTTAAATAAAAAAAAGCACACTTCAGATCTTCATTGTTGTTAAGTATGATGTTAGTAATGAAGATATTTTCAGAATATTGTGCTTTCTTACAGTACATGAATGTTGAAGTGGCCCTCCTCTGAGATGACAGTACCAGCAGTGGCCCCAAGGCAATTTGAGTTTGAGACCCCTGTAGTAAAGATAAAGATAAAGTCTTTTTATTTCCAGTATACACAGCACCTACAGCATTTTACATACAGAATTGTGCTCTGCATTTGACCCATCCTATATACATTACTATATACATTAGGAGCAGTGGGCAGCTGTAGCGCCAGGGGAGCAGTTAAGGGTTAGGTGTGTTGCTCAAGGGCACCTCAGCAGTGCACAAGAGATGAAACTGGTACTTTTCCAGCTACCAAGTCCACACTCCATACTGTGGTCTGTGGGGCTTGAACCGGTGACCCTTTGGTTCCCAACCCAAGTCCCTACTACTGCCTTCAGCATTGAACGATGTATATTTTTCCTTTTCCTTTTACATCTGTCCTCATCCATTAACATTGCAAATACGTCTTTACACTTGACGGAAGGTTGATGCATCGATAAAAACAAAATGTGACAAAGTGCAATGGAAACAGCGAATAAGTCATAACCTACATGAAGCAGATGGCTCATTTGTCACTCAAGCGGAAGAATAGTGGCTGATGAAATGTGGAGTGATGATATTGTCGTGCCCTCTTCTTCTGCATTGGTTTCATAAAATTAAAATTGGTGCTGTGTATTTCGATGAGCTCAGCTCCTAACAGTAGTGTCAGGAAACATACTTTTTCTTTCTTTTGAAAGAGCTTTTGAAGATTTCCCGAATATTCTATTAAAATTTGCACTACATTTGGATTGGAAACCTAACACACAGACCTGTAGAATAATACCCTACGTGGACCTACCTGGAACCAATTTTACTAAATTTAATCATCCAGTGATATTTAGTAGGATCTATTAGCAGAAATTGAATATAATATTCAGAGATATGTTTTCATTAGTGTATAATCACCTGAGATAAGGAATCTTTGTGTTTTTGTTACCTTAAAGTGGGTCCTTTTATACAGAGTCCACCATGTTGAACTGCCATGTTTCTACAGTAGCCCAGAACAGACAAAGCTAACACTGGCTCTAGATAGGGCAATTCCCATTTTTCCCAGAGTTTCCTAGCCACTGTCGTTTCTCCTACATGCTTGAAAGGTGAGGTATTCATTTGGTTGAAGACTTCCACTCCAAACTTAATGCAGACATATAAAAAGCAATTTATTGGTTTGTCTGACACTGACTATGTGGAAGAAAGAACCAAACAAGGCTTCTGCCATAATGGATACAAATGGTCGCTGTTTGTTGTCCTTCCTGTCAATTTTGCATTGATACCGTTTAACTTGCTAACCAGACATTTGATCAATAGGCCTGTGTATTGATTGCAGTGCTTGTCTCGTTCTGCAGGTGATCTTGATGCTGACCAAACTATTTGACTTCAACCTCAACAGTGTGACTGAGAGTTCATTATGGAGGTAAGCTTATCACACTACATGAGCTCATGACATTTAAAGCCTCAAGCAGCTATGAGACTGTTTTATATATTTCTGATGTGTTTAATCCTGTGGGTTGAGCTGTGTTTAGAAATAAAGAATACCTATAATCATAAGGGTGTCAAAATATGAATTAATGCAACATTCAAAGCTTTTAAAGGACACAGCAGTCTAAAATACATCTCTCAATGACAAGCCTGAATAGCCGTATGACAAATCCCTCACATGAAATCAACACCACTGGAGCTGGCAGTGTTATCCAGCAAATTACCTTGACCAGCCTTGAACACAGTGTAGCCTTGTTCAGAGCGTCAACCTCGTTTCTGACTTGATTCTGATGTAACTATTCCATTTAAGAAGGAGCTTGGCTACATTTATGTCTTAAATAAAGAGAGTCATAACCAAAGAAGATCTGAAGAAGTATTGGGTATTGAAATGGGTTTTTTAATGTATTGTTGCCTATGAAATGTATATACACCGATCAGCCATAACATAACATAACTCAAAGTTGATGTGTTAGAAGCAGGAAACATGGGCAGCGTGAGGATCTGAGCGATTTGAAATGGGCCACATTGTGATGGCTAGACGACTGGGTCAGTGCCTGGCTGTGGTCCACGCTGTGACAGGAGCGGCACTCAAAAGCAGCGGCACTTACACAGAGACAGACAGCGTGGACAGGATAGAAACTAAAGAAACTAAAGTATCGATCCCATTACACTATCAATATCAATACCAACGTTGGATCGATATATCAATATTTTGGATCGATCCGCCCATTACCAGTTTCTGTCTTTGCAGCGTGTTTTCTAAATTATTTCCCCCCCAGTTTCCAAATAACTGATGATTTGCTTGTGTTTTTATCTGTTGGCATGTGTTTTCTCAAGTTGTAGTGCGTTGATCTCCCAGTGCCACCAAAGAAACTGTCTAAAGGCATTAGATGTTTTTATGACAGCTGTTATAGCAGAGAGTTAAGGAAAGCTACAATGTGAACTACAAAGCTAAACTAAAGCGAAATTGTTGAAATATTGAATTTAATTTTCATTTAATTTGATTCTATTATAATTTAAATATTTGTATATATGTATTGAATGTTTAGCGTTAAGTGGTGACAACTTACATTTCATTGTGGTAAATGGACCTGTACTTGTATAGCGCCTTTCTAGTCTTCCGACAACTCAAAGTGCTTTTCACTCAAAGTCCATCGAACAGAAACTAACTCATTCATACACATTCACACAATGCATCGGGAGCAATTTGGGGNNCACACACCGATGCTATGCATCAGAAGCAATTTGGGGTTCAGTATCTTGCTCAAGGATACTTCCATTTTAAATGTAATGGTGCAGCTGTAAAAGCATGGTTCCTTGGGTTTGAATGTTTTGCTTGGTATAAGCGTCACATAGCTTCAGTGAAGTGTATGAAGCTAATGCTCATGGTGCATATGAGATACTGAGCATGGAAGTAGTGTTTTTGTCTGTATAGCCTTTTCATTAAAGGAAGGGTTATGGGTAATATGAAGGTGAAATCAAGACCAGTCAACACTACATATTCATTCATTCATATGTTGTTTATGTAACAGCATACAGTATGAATACCCAATTCAGTGCATGGGCAATGGACAGGCCAAGGCAACCTGTGTCATTCGGTTTACTTTCTCTCAATATTTTATCCTGAGCCTCAGTTCAACCAACCTTTTTATTGCCACTGTTGTCTAGATGGATAAAGCACTCCTAGGGATATGGAATTTAAAATCTGTCATGAGCTGTACCTGTACACTGAGATTTATACTTAAGCACATTTAATTCCCTGCTTCCAAGGTTAATTTTTATGCTGCAAGGCAGAAAAAGAACCAAAGTCCTATATGTGTGTTTGCACCCTGACAGTAACAAAAGGGGGTCAGCAATATAGAAATTGGATATCTTCATCTTTTGATGGATCAGAAGCTATGATTAACTCTTTAATGCAATGCAAAAATATATGTGTCACCATTGTTAGCCGAACACACTTTACATGATTTTAATAATTTATACATTAGATGTAGAAGGGTTTTCTGGCCACCTGGGGGCAGCACAACAAGCTGTAAAAACAATATTCTCATTTTATCACCTTATAAAGTGGATACGGGTGAGTGTGTTGGCAAACACTGGCTCATTTACTTATAAGGAAGGCACAGAACAACATTAGCATTCAGTTGCGTTTGAGTCCACCTGATGAATGTAAGTTTAATATTCACTCATGAGGAAAGTAGCTAGTTGCTTACTTTGTCTGTCTTTTACTGCTGAGCTGACAGCAGTAGTGGGTCCTCAAAGTGGCAAAGATGACAACGATGAGAGCTGTGAGAGAGAATCAAACAGTAAATCTGTGAATAGTAAATCTGTGAACCGTAAAGCCAAAACAATTACCTGAGGGCTGCTTAAATGCTCTTATAGCTGAGGGGTACTTCAGAGTCAAGTGAAAATTTGCTGGGGGTTGTGATAGGATCTGCATCTACCTGTGAAGCATTAAAGTCACTGCCAGTGGTACTTTTTTGTTAAAATAAAAGTTAAATAAATTAGTGGACATTTATTTAATTTTTTCAGCATCACCACCACAGTGAGCCAGGCTAGCTAGCCAACTGCTCAAGCTCTGTAAATAAAGATTGATGGCACTCTTGTGTGCTAAGAAACTTAATTTGCAAGCACACCATGACCTTGACATATTCAAATACATTTTGATCTTGCATGTTAAGCATCAAGTTAATGAACAAAATATACTAAAACAGCGGTAAAAAACTAAACAAAACAAACACCAACAACAAAGTAGTCATCAGCAGAGCAAATAAAAACTGTACATTGATCAAGGAAGTTAACTAAAAAATAAAATCTGTGTTGTAATTAAAATAAAAACATAATCATACAGCCACAATAAAATGTTCCTTCACCTTTCTCGACTCCGACCGATAGTGTCCCCACATTTTCAGTGCTGTTGTTGAGTTTTTAAAACATTAATGGTGAGTTTAGATGACATTCTGGGATTCAGAATGTCAGTACTGGGACAAAATAGTCAGGCTGCCTTACCTGCCATGTCCAATACGGCGACTTATGGCTATAATAATAAAACCTTTAGCAAAACCTAGACTTATATTGCATCATCAAATTGTTTGCAAAGACTGTACACTTTTGCATTTTGGAGCACATTCATCTAATTTTAGTCTCAATTTGTCTCAAAGTAAAAAACCTTTTAGTGAACTGCTCTTGTGTATTTCTATATAGTCTTGACAGGTTGACTTGACAGTTGACTGATGTAGAACTGCTGTTAATGGATGAAAGTAACATATGTAAGGTGCCTTTCATTGACGAAAAGGGAATCATTCACGGAGCAAACAACTCACAATTTCCACCGAGGCTGCCTAAAGGCTTAAGCTCTCACCCAGAGCTATGGTAAATGTACCATTATGTGACGGCTGTTACCTCATAGAGGCCCTAGTGAGGCTATTGCTCTGTGTCTCTGATGATGGTACCACATTACCCTCGTAATGGTGCATCTACTACTGATGTTTCACTCGCATTATTATAAATCTGATGCCCTGAGAAAACAGAGCTTCTACTAATGGATGGATGATTAAAGGTGCATGTGTAGAAGCAGACAGATTGACAGAGAGACAGATGAGTGAACGGATGATATACAGTTTGAAAGAGCGCCGAGGATAATCACGGTGCAGGACATTAGTGGGCAATTTACAGCCAGGAAGACAGAGCAGCAAAGCAACAGATAACTGCATTTAAGATAGCCAATTGGTCTGCCAGAAACCCAGCACTCCTCAGGGAGAGTTTGAAGCTAAACTAGGCATCTCTGCCTGTAGTTGCCCCAAATAGCAGCATGAGGTAACAGCTTGAAACCTTTATGCCTTGAAATCACGTGGCATGATGTGATCATGCACAAGTCTGCCAACCTGTCTGTCATTGCTTTATGCCAAAGAACATACAAAGCAAAATATCTCACATCATAAGCTTTGATACAAATAACTAGGCTTATAATCGCTTGTGTTCTGCAGCGGCCTAAATCTTGGACTAGACAACCAAGGCTATTTTAGCTTTTTTCATCGATTACTGACCATTGCCAGGCCTATGCAACGCATTTAGAAATAATAAGACCCAAACCTGACCCAAAGCTTCACTCAACACCAGAGCTGCCAACTTTCACGCCCTTTTTTGCTCTGTGCTCCACTAACGGTTGAGTAAGTTTCTGTCAATTTTCTCCTTTCCTGCACTTACATACATATATGTTATGTGTTAGGCTCATCTATGTTGAAAAGACAACCAATGGGGTGCCCTGGTAGAGCACCCCATGTAAGGCTGAGTCCTCACCCGGCCCGGGTTCGGCTCCGGCTTACGACCCTTTGCTGCATATCGTCCCCTCTCTCTCTTCCCTCTTTCCAAAAAAGTGAGTTTTTTGATGTACAAATACAAGAAATTGTCAGCTATGAGCTTCCTGGATTCCGTTCTTTTGAAGATTGGTGCCCAAATAGGCTTACATGGGAGGCCTGTACACTTGAGAGTGCAGAGGTTGCGGGTTGTGTTTGTTCTTGTTTGTATGCATGAATATATGCATTAAGATGATAATTTATTCAGATTGTACTCCAATTTGGACAGACCTGAGAGACTAAAGTGGGGAGTGTTGGACAATGCTAAACGCTGAGTCTGTTACTGCAGTTTCGAGCAGTTGGCTATATGTATGATGTCTCCTCTGATTGGACGGATTTATTTGGGTCTTCTGATGCAAAAAAAATAATCTCCAGGAAGTAGCTATATTAGTCATATTGGGACGATGGGAAGCTGTTCTCTTCAACCTTCTGTTATCAAACACACTCTTAGTGTAGCTTTAAGAGTGGAAGTTTGCCACCAAATCTGAAGGGCAGGCAGGAATATGATGGAAAGGGATTGCGGATGTGGATGGAGGGAGGGAAGGGTATGATTTAGCCTGCTACTCAGAAGATATACTGTCTGAGCGCGCTGAGGGTTTCATAAATTCATCCTGGAACACTCTGCTCAGCTGAGCCATTTGTCCAGTGTCTCAAGCATTGCTCTCGGTGATTTTCAGCGCTCTAATGCAGCAAGTGACCCAATGTTAACTATACCGAACATGCATGCTGCTCTCATCCTCCAAACCATGATTAATCAAACCCCCATGGAAAATGTAAACGCTGTGTAGTAGCTGCCTATCAGTGTATAGTAGACTCTAGAAATTATAATTAAAACTCTATCTAATAAGCCTTTTAATAAGTGTCCATAGACATAATTTTAATCTGTTTCAGAGAAAGTAAAAAATGGGGTTGATTCAAAAAGGTTTTATGCCTTTCATTGAGTGTGTGTATGTGTGTGAAAGTGTTCCAAGATGTAATAGGGAATAGCTCAATCACCCTCCTAGCATATCCAGAATCCATTCTTTCCTCAGAGAGCCTTATCACTCGTGTGTCCTCGCACAGTGTTCCTTTAACTTGTTTAATCCAACATGTGGACAGTCGGAGGCATCGGCTCACCTGCAGCCCCCGTAGAGCCAACATCCTCACGGCGGATAAAATCACAGCAGTGCAGTCAGAGCTGCATTTTACACCCACTCATAAGCACTGAATAGCCTTTTCAAAAAGCCACAAGCAAGGCACACCAGTTTCACTCCAAATCATCGTCCTTGAGAAACTATCATTCTCCATTTAATGTAACTTTTCATCTTCCTGGGATCTGCTGGGGTTGGAGTCCTTTTATTGGTTCATGTTGAGAGTTGCTACACTAAAAATAAGTCATTGGCCCCTAAATCAAGAGATTCTGTGACAGGGGCCTCGAGGAGCTGATCAATAGCCTGATGATGTCATTGTCCCATGATCCTGGGCGTTGATGGTTTCTGATGAATGATACCGGACTCATCCAGGAGAGTTGGCCAGGTGGCAATGAATTTGCTCACCACGGAAACCAGCCAGTAATAAAACCTCAAAGGGCTGGTAAATGAGACAAAATTGCCAGTGTGACATGAATATTTCTGTATTTTCATGGCTGTTTTGTAAACATCAGGCGTGAAGCTCTCAGAAAACTCAGAACCCTTCAAACAAGGATTTTAGTCTGTATTCAACAGCTACACACAAAGAAGGCGGAGAAAAAGAAAAAGAACATCAGTCGATGTGAATGATTGCTTCATTTGAAGTCACACAAGGCATTCTGCAGCGTCCTTGCTGCATTTTTAAGATTTGCATGCTCTCTATCTTCATGTGAAATTAAAATAGCTCCTTGATTGAGCCTCAGGCCTCTCCAAATAAATGAGACCTTACAGCTCAAATAAGTCGATCAAACTTTCCAAGACAGTCTGAAATGCTAAATTTCAGCCAAACACAAATTTCGCATTAGTGCTTTGACCAACATTTCAATATTTCAGCACTCATTCAAAACTGCTCTTGATTTAACTGTTTTAAGCTAGTTTATCACTCTCTTCTATGTAAATGAAGCTCAAGAAATGGTGAGATGGCTCTGCTTGCCTGTCATGTTAGACAAAATCCCATTCCAAGATGATTGTTATGTGCTGAATATAACCCAGAAGGTGGGATGGAGTAGACCCTGAATATATAATAACTAAGAGAGAAAGATCATAATCTTATCATACCTGCTCAGAGTTTAGGTTTTTTTCTGTTAAAGACAAATTACTTTTGAATCCTTTACCCACAGAATTTTATTTTTTGCTGTTTAACTAAATGCCTGACCCTTCTCATGTAATCATTTAACAGTGCTTTGGAGAAAAAGTATACAGTTAATGTAACCTAAATTTAGAAACACATGACTTTCTACAGATTAAATACATAAACGTCCGTACTGAAAGAAACTACACCCACTTAAAAAGTTTTTAGTTAGTTTATGCAGATAATTGAGCGATTGTTTACCAGTAGCTGTCATCCACAGCTGCTTTTAATCTTTATGAAAGACTCCTTCTTCAGCTCATTAAATCAGCTATCTGACAGATAGGTGTGCAGGATCTGTAGCCTCTAATTTAAATACTTAAATGTACACACAGTGATCCATCATTATATCATTGGCTGCTGCAAAGTAACACACACACAAACATCTGTGTGTATTAATCAAATTGGTCAGTTTAACTGTATTCTGTTAGGTGGCACGATGCAAATCAGTTACTGCCGCTTGGTCAGTGGCCCTCTGCTTTAAAATATGACACTCTAGGTATCTGTGTGGTGTTCTTTCTTCAAAAATGTTGCCGCAATACATATTTAGATTGAATCATTCACTGTGTTAGTATTTTCTCCAGTTCTAGACAATATTTCTGTTTATTCTCCACATATTCATGTTCCACGTGTTGCCTTCTTGTTCAACTAGTTCCTTTAACATGTCTCTAATGTGGTTTAAGCTTTCAGACTGCTTGTCCCTACAGTATGCACTGTTGTATTGTTTACATTTATGCATGAATGCCATAAAAACTCCCTATACAGTGCATATATCGTATCTGGCAGGTAGGGATTTTAATCCTCATGTTGTATATTTTGTTCTGTGACGTTCAGGAACATAATATGTTGAAGCATTTTCATGTTCATTTGACTAATAGTATTTTAGATTTTTGTTTCATTTATACTTGATTGTAAATGTTTGCATTGTTACCAGTAAACCAAAGAATATAATTTGTATTGAACCACACTTGGACATTGACATTAGCAGAAGAAATTCTGGTTATGTCTATGTATATGGACTCCTAAAGACCATAAAACTACATTTTCTATTGTATTTGGATTTCTTTCAAAACCACCAGAAAATAAAGCTCCATACATGGACTTATAGTCCACTGTTGGTAATGTAGTAATGTGTGTATGTGTGTGTCTATGTGGAGTAGTGTAGAGTACACTAACTTTTTTCAAGTTCCAGTAAAAATGTAGTATTCAGTCATACCTCTGTTTTCAGGATATGTGTACATTATGAATACAGCAGCTCAAGTCACTAAAAAGTGACCGTAATGAAGTGAACCCAATCCTCCCACTGGGGTTCATGTTGCCGCGTCTAGCACAAAAGGGACTTAATTACGTCAGTGCCCTTTCCCCTCTCACATTGAATTCTCGAGGGGAACTTTTTAATTGCAACAAGTAATTCATCAAGTGTTCATCAGACCTTTCTGATTAAATTTCAGGTCAACTGACTACGGAGCAACGTACCAGAAGCTGAATGACAAAGTGGGAGCAAAGACAATACTCAGTTATTTGTACGTGAGCCCGAACAACAAGAGAAAGGTAATGTTATTCTTCTGTTACTTCCTTTGAATTTAATAATTGTCTTGATTGTGTGAGTTTCCACTGTCTGACACACAGTGTGCAAAGTCAAATACCGGCAGACATATTGATGTCTGACTCATCGTTCTCTGTTTGATATCTGTCTCTCCCTGTTTCTACAATGTCAGTAAGACGCATTGACTTCATTTATTAACATGTGAAATCCACATAGACAGTTATCTGGCAGCAAAGAAAATACTCTTCAATTTCTAAAATGAATAGCTTGGCTATAGTTTGTCTTTTTCTTTTTGGAAATAAATCAATTAGTAAAAGTAAAAGACAAGGATTGGTTTATATTTGCAGCCATTCCTTCAGGTGGTGCCCCTGCATTTACCTGGGTTTGGGTCAATTGATATTTAGAACCATCTGTTTCTGTTCACGCCACAGTTTCACCTTTCTCCCTTTACACGACTCTAATCAGGAAAGGTCATTTTCTCAGAGGTAATTATGGTCTAATAATGAAGATGAAATGCAGCCCCAACTCAGTTCAAAATCCCAGCCGCCCCCCTGATCCAGTTAGATGGTCTGTCAGTGATTGGGACACCTATGAGGTCAGTTCAAGCGTGGAGCCAGCCAGTGACAGAAACAGTAAGTAAAACTTGAACCTAAAGAACATAGTGAGGCTGGAATGTCCTTATGTTGTCATAAGGGGAGGATTAAGATGTATTTCAACTAATAGAAGAGATATTATAGTGTTATTCTGTGAAAAATATACAGATGAATATGCATTTTGCCCGCTGTGGCGACCCACTGTAGTGAGTGAGGGGGCTGCAGTTTTTAAATTGAGGACCAATATCAGTCGGTTTGCAGTCTCAGACAACCTTACTGCATTTTTTAGATACTGTTTACCAGCATGTTCTATACATTATCGCCATAGAAAAAATCTGCCCCTGTTCTAAGACTCAACTGTAAAGACGACTCCTTTCTAGAGCTGAAACAAACTAGGAACTGTTTTGAATGTGATGTTTAGGAGCCAGTGAGTTGCTAATCAGAGGTTCAAACATATTAGAGGCAGCAGATCAGCAAATGGTCAGTGTTAACTGATTTTTCTGCACTCAGGTCCATTTGGATCAATTCACTCAGGTTACATTACGGCCCCAGTCCATTAGGGTTTTGGCCATTTGGTTGTTTTTTTTTGAGTGCACATAAGATGGTCATGGGTCCAAAAAGACTTTCATTTCCCTTGTTTAAACTTGTTGCATCCATCTTTGTTTTATGGCAATTGGAGAGGGCAACAGCAATGACAGCAGTGATGAGTAAAAAGTCCCTTTTCAACAGTGGATTGTTCCTGGCATGATTGTTATGAAATGATGCAAAACATTCCAGAAAGATACAGAAAAAGCACTTGTATGGGGCCATTTTGTAGCAAATCTGTTTACAAACGTGAGTTGTGTATCTGTATCATTTGTAAATGTAAAAAAACTTAACATATGCTAGTTTATTGAGATTTGTGAATGTGTAGATACATTTGTAAATGTGTAGACAAATCTATACATTTGTATATAGATATTTATGGCGATATTAAAACAGATCCTTGTCACCATAAGTGTAGCTAAAGTCACATGTAAAGAAGACAACTAAGACCATCTGAGTTGTAACTTGATGACTTGTCTGTATTTCCATTTCCTGATTATGCACACAGATTCTGAATACACATTTGGAGGTTCCTGTACACATTAACAAACCACAGTACGCATTTAGAGATTCTTCATTAACAAATACAATTATGCACACATGTATTGAGATAGTTACACAACTCTCCACTCACATTCACAAATAGTTTTTACAATATTGGCCCCATACCTTTGTTACTCCTCAGGGACGACACCAAAACCTCACTGATACAGTCCTTTGTAGCTTTTACATTGGCATTATTTGGCTCACACTCAGGTTGAATGTGCTTTGTTTACAGTTTTCATTGCCCATCTATTCATCCATTAGTTAAACCCGCTTATCCTTGAAGGTTCCTGGGGGGCTGGCAGCTAACAGCTCTTTATTTTAATTTGTTATTTTGACTAAGTATGGAGCTCTCTAACATGCCATTAAGTAACACCCATTGAATTGAATTAAAGTAGGAGAGGCAGACTGAGGTAAAAATGTCTTTCTACGCTACCGCTTGTAAGTTGGATTAACAGTGCATGTTCCGTCCGACCTCGGCAAATCCAATGAAAAGATTTTTAAGCTTTTCTAATGAGGCAGCAATGTGGGGAAAGGAGGGGGAGGGCATTGGGAAAGCACAATAGCATTAGAGTCCAGGAAATCAGCTAGCTCAACAACACCAGGCCCTCAGTTTAAATACAGAACAGCGAGCAGATGAAGACCTGCAAACAACTTGACGGGTTGTTAATATCTTTTCACACACACAGGGACACAGACAAACACTTAGACACTCTCTCTCACACACACACGCATACAAACAAAACGACAGACACCTTGCACACTACTGGGGTCTCAGATATGCACACATACACGTAGTGTCTGCTTTTGTGTGTGCTTTCCTCTCATCTATCTCCTGTCACCCTCACTTACATTCACACACAGGCACATATTCTAATTATCTCCGTCTCACACGTGTTCACACAACCTCATTCGGTCTTATTTCTCTCTCACATTCCTAGTATCCCCCTGTTGCCAAAGCATGACATTTGTAATGCTTTAGAAAGTATAAACAAGACTAAAAGTCTGTAGCTGCCCCATGAGGTTATAATAATTACAATGCAAGTAAAATAATTGTTGAATGGATGAAAAATAGAGATATATCTTTGGTATTTCCCAGATCCTTGCCACAAGTCTAATGAAAAATGGAAAATGTAATGTGACATAAGAGTGCCAGAAAAGGAAAGTTTTTAACATAAATGCACAGAGTTGATCTGTCTATCAGTGTCCATTTTAGGCCATCTCAGACTTGCCAGACTGCATTGTTAGACTGAGTATGACAATGCTGAGCTGAGCTTGAGGTTGACAAGATGTGCCTAAATATAGCTGACACAAAATTAGGCTTTGGGCATCTTATACAGTGTTATGCATTTGTCATAATTACCAGTTTTGAACTTGTAAAAAGCTTTCATGTCAAGAAGGCATAATTAACGCTTTTTCTAAAATATATAACACTTAATAATGCATAAGTGTCAAGCCAAACAGGATTCCTCATGTCAGCCGAAGTCCACTGTTCAAGGTGAAACCAAATTGTGTTAAATGTCAGTGAAGTAGTAAACCCTCACACAACTATACAATTACACATGAACGCTTGCAAATCCTAGACATGGGAATCTTTCACTATCTCTTGATGCATCCCATGTTTTCATCAACGCTGCCACTATCCTGTTCATGTTCTGATGCTTGGCATTTTACTGTATTTGCTAACTGTAAAGTGCATATGGTAAACAAACTTACTGTGAGCACACTAAAATGCTAATATTTTAGTAGTTTCCGTTTAGCTTTGCATATTAACACGTTTGAATGATAACATGTCGTTAGTATGTTGCTGACATCTAAGTACGGTATATGGTGACCATACATCCCAGTTTGTCTGGGAGTGTCCTGGTTTCAAGCAGGGTGTCCCAGTTCCTGACATTTTTCCACATTCACTACCAAATTGTCCCGGTTTTCACAACAATTAAAGGTCCAATGTGTAACATTTAGGAGCATGTACTGTAAGAAATGATATAATAATATAATATACTGTGTTCTCACTAGTGTATAATCACCTAAAAATAAGGATAGTTGTGCTTTTGTTACCGAATGAGCCTTATATTTACAGACCCTGCGGTTCACCTTCCTTGGAGCCGCCATGTTTTTACAGTAGCCCAGAATGGACAAACCAAACACTCTGGATATGGCCGTTCGCATTTTTCGTTTTGCGGCCACCATAGTTGCAATTGGAAGGGTTGAAGCGAGGGAGTTGCGATCTGCAACTAGACCATTAGATGCCAACAAAACTTACACAATGATCCTTTAAAATAATAATTATAGAATAATATTATTCTAATTTACTGGGATTTTATAGACATTTATCGTTTTCTGTTAACATAAATAACGCACCATGCATCTGATTTAAACACTGATTTGTCTTTATGTCAGTCAATCAATCATTGTCAAGGTGAATCATAGCCAAGTGTCATAGGCTCTTTCTGACAGAACCTGTCAGTATGCTAACGGTTAGCTGTCATGCTGAAAAGAAGGTCTGTCTTTATGAACTCCAAGAGGCTTACTCCTTACTAAGGGTGTTCGGTAGGTGTGATAAGCACTGAAATAATTGTCCCCCTGTATGCATAAGAGCATACACATGCATGCATAATGCGGTAAACATAAGGGTTCCTGTTTGGAAGTTTGAACATATGGTCACTGTATGAACATACACGTACAGTTAAAACAGTATGTTACTGTGACTTTCTAAAGTTTAGCATGCTGTCAGTGTGTTAGGATTTGCTATTAGAGTGTTACCATGCGGTAGGGGCATTCATCTCAAAGTAGAGCTGAGGCTGACATAAATTGAGTAACAAGATTCATTAACTGTGTTGAACTTTTGAAACTGCGGCGCTAAATGAAGCACAAGCATTTATCTCTCGCAAACAATGAATGTATGCAACAAATCTAATGGCAATCCATCCAGTAGTTATGAAATATTTCACTCTGGATCATCGCGTTAGACTGACACATGGATGGACCGGCTAAATATACAGAGTAAAAATAATACAGAGGAACAGACTGGGAAACAAACGTGGATGGGGGAACTTTCTCACTCTCAAATACACACACACTGTTCTTCCCACCTACATGCAGTTCATTACAAGCACACACATGCATGCTTGCGAGGGAGGGTAGCAGAGGCTGCAGGTTCGCCACTCTCACTGTCACCCCCGGCATGGCGCCATGTGACCGCTGCTGGTGGCAGACAAAAGCCCCTCACTTCGCCCAGTAGTGGAAGTAAATCAGGCCTCTGTGGCTGCGGGGGGATAGAG